GTATGTTTCAGTACACGGAGCGCCCACATAATTACACACTCTTGAATTAAACCCGACAAACTTTAACATCGAGATAAAATATCATAGTTTTCATTGTTATTAAGAGTGCACCTATTATTCCAAATATGATTATCTTTTTGGTCTGAGGTGACACAAGATGGCTTTTCAGGGACTATCACTTACATTTTTATCTTAAAAATGAATTACAATTATTTTTAATTAATACGGTTCTCACTTGCCCCAAATTCCCACTTACCCCACCTGACCTTACTTTCTTTTAAAAAATGAACTTTTTTACCTTATTTAATAACATTAATTGATTAAATTACTCTGTTCATGTTTATAAAAAAGAAAGATTAAAAAGTACTATATCTGAAAACCATTTTCTAGTAATAAGTAGGTACCTATCAGTAAAAAAATATTAATTACAGAAAAATGTAATGGATGTATTATCAATAGCATGCTCAATTAATTTAACTGCCAGATAATGGTAAATTGGTAAACTATTAAGTACACAATAATTTTTCCAAACACATCAAATTATTTAAGATGACAATAAAAATATGTAATGTAATATTTCTGACTTAAATAAACAAAGATTTGTAAGAAAATAAGATGTTTCTAGCTCAAACAGTTTTAAAGTTTTATGGAAAAAATGTTTCATAGCATAATACTGAGAGGGACGTATAAGACTGACTTTTGTATATAGGTAAGTTGATCTAAACCGTTTTATATTGACCCCAGGAATCTATAGTGGTTTGCTGATGCATGAATTTTAAAGACATCCTGTTTAATAGTGAAGGTTTCATCACCTAGCAACTGACGTAGTTTCTAACAAGTTTATGGCATTCTTTATTCGCCATATCTCCTTTATTACCCTCTATATACAGGGTGCCCCGGTACTTGATACAAAAAAGTGGAGTACAGATATATGAGGTCAAAATCATATCAGTTCTTCATATAAATTTTCTTCATAAGGGCCTTCGTTAACAAGTTACGGGCCCTCAAAGGTAAAGATTAAAAAGTTATTTTTATTTACAGCCTCTAAACCATTAACTTCAGCAAGATGCAAATTTTGAGTTCACAAATCTGTTGTCTACCATTGTACACGTTATTCTGGGACACCCTGTATAACCCACTAGCTAAACTTTCATCGATTTACATCAAATGTCTTCAGAGGTATTTTATGACAGGCTGATTTTTCCAGCTGACAAATAAAATCATTGATCAATTAAATTTGTCTGCAAGTTATCCGTCCATGCATATTTTATGAGACAAGTACATATTTAATTGGCAAATAAATTTATTAGGAAATAGAAAAATCAGGTTGAAATGGAATGTCTTTTATTAAACTTCGACAGCATGCCTTAAAAACCAGTTGCTTTAGGCTCATTAATGTTCATTCATTTTTTAGTCTAAAATTATCCAAGGAACAACACCCCGATAGAATATTATTTACTTATTTCATTTAGAGGCGTGCAATTTGAGCTAGACTATTAAATTTATATTAAAATGGTGATTGCTGTACTTGGAGATTTAGAGTTATTCCTAGCATTATAATATATTTAGGCAAAAAAGCAGAGAAGAGGCAAAAAATCGCTGCAAATATACATACCTATATTGCTTTTGAATTGGAAAATAAAGATGTGAAGTGATACAATCTCTCGCAAAGTGAATATATAAAAGTATAAATATGATCAAACCCCATGCAAAAAATAGACAAGTAAAAGGAACAAAAAGTATATTTTTACCTTCTGATAAATCTTCTTTTTGGAATCCAACGCATGTTCCAATGGAAATAATATATCGTGACTCTCCTGGATCAGTATTTTGCAGCCAAAAATTATTTTTCATACATTTCACCTAAAAATGTGTTTATTATTATTTTATTAACTATTCATGTTACCATTAATAAACGACATACTTTTGTCACCAGATACGCATAGACAGCTCTGTCGAGTTAAAATAGTAAAGCATTCAAAGATACTTGCTTTGCAATTGTAAAAATGTTTTGGAAGGTACCCAACTTTTATGTAACTAATTTAAATTAAACTACCTAATACTGTTCTGGTATTGAACAAATAGTAAATTTTAGTTATTAATTTCCTAATACAAGTATGAAAAATATAAGAAAAAAAGCATATACCTAGTTAAAAAAATTCTTTCAAAAAGGCCTTTAATTTTACATGCAATTACTATTTCTTTCTCATATAGGTATTATTTTGAAAATGGTTATTATTAGATACGTAGAAAATCGGCATTAAGATACCTATATAGTATTTTAATATTACATATAATGGTTTCTGCAAGACTGTAATACACACAATTTCATAAAAGTATGCATAGGCTGTCTTACGGTTATGGCTCACTAGATATTTCAGACTACTTAGATTTAAATTTTGAAAATTTAGACAACCAATATGTCATAAGTCAGTTGTTTTGTTTTTAAATTTGCTAGCAGTTTCACAGCCATCCTTGCAAGAAATTGGATCATTTTAATTATTTATCACAAAAACTGTCAATAACAGAAAAATTCAAAGAGACAGGTACAGAGAAGTGTAGTATGGATAGGTAGATAGTAAATTCTACAACAGATTTTGATTAAATATAGTGTTCCATTTAGAACCACTACACTTGAAAAAACGCAAACACCCATTATCCATCGACATTGCCAGTGCCGACACCAGGGATTGAACCTGGACCAGAACAGGAAGTCTGGACAAGAAATGCTGGCCACCACACGCTCGACAGACTATGCTACCCTGACGATAAAATGTGTATTATTCATTTCAAACTATTTACTTCTCTCTTATGCAATTTAAAGAGCCATTTTCAAAATTATGGCACAAAAATACAGTACAGATTACCAAAACTTTGTAACTGATATTAAAAGAAATTTTGACGTTTTTACACCACATCCACAGAGCATTGCGATCGATGTCCTCAGTTCTAACAAATTACACATTTCTCATTAGCATATACATTTACTACTTTTATTACCATATTATAATAGTGTAAGTTACAAATTGCCCCTTTTTGAGTCACGCTTTGACGCTTTGAACAAGAATTTTGACTGCACTTCACTTAAAATTGTGGTCAATGCCAACAATTAGACAGACCCGCTTGTCCCCGTATATCTAATGTAAGTACATAGCACAGAACACAACAAAGAAAAATTCCATTTAATTTTGTTGGTGATCCATAAAAAAGTCTTAAACATAACTTAACTTTTATCTTATTCGTAGTGCTTGTCCCAGTCTTGGTGTTAGGTACTATTGGTAGTGTATTAATGCACGGTATCACTTTCAAAAAAATAGTAACACTAACGGATAAAATACAATATATTTAAAGGGACCTATTTCAAAGGTCTTAGTCTATATAATATAAGAACTTAAAAGATCAGGTTTTCAGACCTCTTTAATACCAAGTTAAGTACCTACAGATTTTTATAATTCAAGACACAATTTTTTCTATTTGGAAAAGAGCAAATACAGGCATATTAAATAAAGTAAAAAGCTATTAAAGCACATAGACATAAGTACTTACATATTCTAACCTAAAGATTTTAGTAATGTATGTATGTAAATCCAGAATCCAGTCACTTATTATAATTGTCAATGGTAATGAAAAATTAATTAATAATTTTTAAATATAAAAATATTGCTAATTTACAAAGGCATTTAATTTAAGCAAAAAAAGTTTACTTTTGGTTATCAAAAACTCATTGAAAAATGACAACTGACATGAAAAAACGACATTGACATTGACATTGCAGTGATCAGTGTTCACTGATCAATGATGATATAGATGAGATCGGACATTATAAATTTGATTATTTACATCCTGATTGACAATGCTCTTAAATTGTTAAATGCTAATAGATTCTATATATTGAGAATAAATGGCAGGTATAAGAACCGAACTATCAACTCATGAGGGATAGTCGAAGGATATCGGACCAATACTCCATATATGTATGACCGTATTAATGGTGTTCTTCTTAATTTATACTGGAATCAACTGGGCTTATTTGAAAACACTGCTATTGCTGATGGTACTGACTTTTAGCTCTGTAGGTTGGTGAATGGTGAAGATCGGATATTGAGTAGCGGGCCCAAAAAACTTATCTACTTATGTTTGCTAAATAATATTTTATAAGGAAAATTAAATAACTAAACACATTTTGCACATTATAATTAACTTGTGAATATATTTACTAATTCCGTCACGGATCCCAAAACTATGGGTTCTCCCTGAATAACCAGCCAGCAAAATTAACCCTTGACGAATCTAGTTAATAGGGGTTTACGAAAAATATATCTGACCAACTGATCCGAGCGCTGCTTACTCTGGTCAGAGTGTTCTTTTAAATTGGCTATTTTCGTAAGCACCTAGTCGAAACCGATCTAATCTAACCTCTATCACTATCTACATGCAATAATTCTACAAATAAATGTGAAAAGTGGTACCTGTATGATGTACGGCTACAATAATAATCATTTTCATCTACATCTACCATATCTAAATTGTTATTTAACATATTGCATTTTTAATTTTTTTCTACACTAGACAATTGAAGAGAACGAAACGAAGTTAATGTTTCATTCAACAGTCAACAAAACAATCTTTCTTTGTAACTTAACGAAACATATCTGTTTTTAATTTTTTTATTATACCTGTAAACAGCACGCATCCGCAAATTTCAGATCATTCTTTAATCTGACAAATAAGCAAGAGCGACTAGAGCGCTCAGATTTTCTATATCTGAGCATTGACGTTGCATTTTCGTAATGGGATCGAATCATCAGAGTGAATATTCGTAAGGCATTTTCTTGTTCCGACCACTCCGATACAATTATCGTAAACCCCTATTGTATAGTTCTCTAATCTAGGGCCAATACGACAGACTGCTTATATACTTATACAATTCAGATTTAGATTCAGATCAGATAACTCTTGACAATTTGAACAAAAGGAAAACAAACATCAATTGTCAACAACTCAACAACAATAACATAACCTACAAATGGATACATTTAAATTGGAAAGAAGTTAAAAAGTTTTCTTGTTTATTTTACAATAACCAGTTAAGAATGCCATTACCTCCAGTCCTTTTAGCCAAATTATCGAAAAGAGGAATAATAACACGTACGTCGCAAAATATACATAACTAAAACATAGGAACTAAAAAATATTTTATGCATTGCAGCTAAACAAAAGCCGGAACATATTAAAAAGCAAGATTTTAAGGGACTAGCTACATGCCCCAACAAAAGTAATATATATCATGAGTGTAATTATTGGTGTGAAACGCACTGGAAAGGTGTACCAACTCCAGATACAAGATATGTTCGTAATATGCAGAAATTATTAGTAAAGTACCCTATGCCTAATAATTGGACGGAGGTTTTTGACAAAGGGATGTAAGTTTTTATTATTTAACAAAAGAGAAAACATTTCTCTAATAAATTTATGATTTTAGTGGCAGATATTATTATTGGAATATGGAAAATGATTTAGTCTCATGGTTACCTCCTAAACATCCTAAGTCTATAAAATGCCAAAGTGCTGCTAAGTTACGTGAAAATCGTCTTAAAATGAAAGAAAGAGAAGAACGTATAGAACGAGAAAAGGATCACGATAAGGAACGAGATTCAGATGACGATGAAAGAAGTTACAGGAGTAAACATTCCGATAGGAGGGACAGAGACAGAGATAGAGAAAGGGAAGACAGAAGACACAGGAGGGAGGATCGCCATCGAAGTAAAAAGTCTAAAAAAGATGAAATTGATCCGATGGATCCAGCTGCGTACTCTGATGTGCCACAAGGTACCTGGAGTGATGGATTAGAGAGTAATAAAACAAGAGCTGACAGTACTGCATCTGGTGTTTTATATCAACAGAGGCCGTATCCTGCCCCTGGCGAAGTTTTAGCAGCAAATAAGGAAAAGTCGAAAAAGAAATAACTATTATCTTAATATTATATAGGGTATCTCACTAATCACAGACTACTGGGATCAAAATAAGATAATTTAGAAAAATAAATGCTTCATTTAAAAATACATATTGTGTTAAAATAGAATTTTCAAAATGTTTTTTTCTTAATAGCCTCGATGATTTTCAAGATATTATCTTCAACTTTCATACAGGTGTTTATGGAAATTTTTTGTTACCTAATAAAATTTTTTCCAAATTTTCTCAGATATTCTTTATTTATTGCAACGTTTTCAATATAAATTCCACTTTTTGAAAAACCAATAAAAAGAACAAAAGGAACACATACTTTTGAACAAATNATTTTATATATCTTGTTGCCTTTTACGCAGACACGCCAATGGATTTTCGTTCCCGGCACGCTTCATCCCCCTTACTAGTCCAAGAGCTAGCGATGAATCACTATCTATAATTTTTGCCGTCGAGTATAGATAAATTATTTTGAATATGAATTAATTGCACTTAAATTGTCAGTGTCAAGTGTCAAATTAGATTTTTTTCTTACTTTTCTTCAGAGAAGCATTATAATTTTCTAAATAGAAACTGCGATACCATGTACAGTTTCATTAATTGTAAAATTTTGCAGTGTTTTTCGTCATGAGAGTTTATAAATATATATAAATTCGTTATAAATGATTAGGTACCTACGTTTTCTAAAGAAAAATTTTAATATTGTAAAATTTTTATTTTGAAGTATAAAAAACAATAAAAAATTAATAATGTTGCTTTTGCACATTCTTTCACGGTTTTTAACACTACCGTTTTAAACATATTTCTTAGGCGTAATTTTTGGTCAAGCTTCGAGTCTTCGGAATACTGTGTAATTTGCTTGATTCTGATTAAATTCATCGTTTTCCCAAGGCAACCAGAGGACTATACACTAAACTCGGATCCGCCTGGATGTTCTGAAATAGATAATTTGCCGTGTATTCATTCTCCCGATCGCCTTCAGCACGTGTCTTCTGATATATTACTCTTTGTAGACGACCATCTGGTTGCAACAAATAGAAACTTTGCCCCCCGGGCACCCCCGACACTGCTGTGGCGACGGCGATATTTGGACCACCTGCTTCCTCTTTCGATTCGGTTGATTGCTAAAAAAAATATTGAATGTTAGCACGTTATTTTATTACAGATGATATTCTTGGCTGTAGGCGCCGAAAACAAAAATGGTACCTACACTGAGGGAAATATCTTTTAGCCATAAGTACAAATTGATTAACCCCAAAAAATATTTGCTTTAAATAGGTTCCAAAAATGTCGAAACAAAAAGGTTTCTTTGTAGCAGTTGTTTTTATCATGATTAGTCTTTGTCAATGGTGATAATAGAACAGCAAGAATACAGAATATTTTTTTGAATGACGTGTTGCCTTTATTAGATACTACCGTGGTATCGCAGGTCTTCTATGATGACTACGGCACAAAATCAATATCTGGCCAATATCTAGTTATTATTATAAAATTTTTAACAATTAATAGCTACGTCTCAAGCAAAGTTAATTAATACATGTAATAAGTTATCTATTATGTATGTAGGTATGTATGTATGTATTACTATTATAAATGTATTATTATCTAGTTATCTTTAGCTAAAAAAATGTGTCTACCTATTGATGTTGCAAATTTATAGGAACAATAACTTTTTTTTCTAAATGGATACAATAGAGAAAATGATAATATAATCAAGTTTTAGGTTAATGAATATTTTCTTCGAGCAATGTTTTACGTTATTGTTACCTTATTAAAAATTCCATAAACGTTTCTGTTGAGACATGAAACAAACGTTACTTTTAAACTTGTTGTTATTCTTCATCAATATTTATTTGTCTAGACAGTACCGCCCCAGATTCACACGCCTGAGTAACTTTTATTTTCTATAAACACTGTTTTCGTTTTATGGGCAAAGGATTTTTTATGAACTTGAAACAAGTGTGTGCCGAATTATATTTATTTCGCATCTCAGAAACCAACAGTTGCAGAGTTATTTCTAATTGAAGACTCCGGTGCAAGAAAGGAATAAGTTTGAAAAATAAGATATCTGTAGATATCTTGGTAATAAGTTAGAAATTTAAGAATAGTTTTAGGTTTATACAAATATATATTATATGGAAATTAATTTAAACAACTGTGAAGACTTACATGGAAATGTTTCTATTCGTGTTTAAATTGTTATTCACCCTTAACTGTGATATTATGAAAGGCAGGTATTTTTCAGTTATCTGCCTCCAAAAAAATTTATCATTTGAGGAAAACAGACAAAGATGCCTGGTTGTTTCAAAATTTTGCAATAAGAATCAGTTCCTCTATGTAATAACACTTACCTCATCTTCATCAGGGTTGTTTTGAGGTAAAACAGCAGATCCACTATCAGGTCGAAGTACCGTTCTGGCAGTTGTCGTAGGAGGTAAATACTTTTCATCTACTTGTTCTCTGCTTGCCCCTTGGATATTGGAATCATCAAATTCTCTATTTTGTTGTACAGGCTGTATTGGTCGTGCTGCATTTTGTCTTATCGAAGATTGAACATTGTTGGAATTCTGTAAACGCCTCACATTTAACTGCTGAATATCCACATTGCTTTGCAGCGGCGCCTCATAACTGTTTATATTCCGATTGGGATTCTGAGAAGCTAGCGCTATATTAGGATTTATACCCGACAGTTGCGGCTGATTGTTTTGGGAGCTTTCGGCTCTGTTAAACAACTGTGGATTATTCAGGGGTTGGTCGTAGTTTATGTTTGGTTGAACGTTTTGCCTTTGTGGTATCACTGCTTGAGGAAATTGTACTCCTTTATCAAAATTTGAGGCCTCTTTCACCGGCAAATACTGCTGAGATAGCTTTTGTAAGTTTGGGTTGGGAATTCTTACTTCAAGTGGGTCTTGGTTGTTGGATTGTGGCACATCGAACCCGTTTCTAAAATTTGTTGGTTCCTGTGCTGGTAAGTAGCCTTGATTTGGTCCAATATTCTGTTGTGAGTTCTGAGGTTGTAAATTGCCTCTAAAATCGGCAGCCTCCCTCACGGGCAAGTATTGCTGGTTAGGTATTCCGACATTTCTATTAGAATTTTGAAACTGAGCCAAATTTATATCAGCTTGCCTCTGTTGGTCGGCATTCGACGACTGACTTAACTGAAGTAGCAAATTTAGTTGCTTGAGCTGTTCCAAGGTTTCCACGTTTCTAGCGTCTGGGACTCCATACTGATTGTTCAGTCTGTTTTGACTACTTGGGGCGTCTTGTGTTAATTGCGGTTGGTTTACAATCGTTCTATATGGACTACTTGTCGCAGGGGCTCCATAGGAATTGCTGGGAATTACCTGTTTCGAATTAAAGTTAGGAGTTAAATTTGGTAGAGGCCTAAGTCCTTGCTGATTTAAAGCACTGTTAGCTCCCTGCGATTCGCTTATAATTGTCCTGTAAGGACTAGTTGTTACTGGAACTCCATACGATGTGCTGGGAACTGTTTGTTTGGAATTGAAGTTTGGAGTCAAAATGGGAGTTGAACTTGATCCTTGTTGATTAGGAACACCATACTGAATTTGTGGAGCTGCTTGAGATATTTTCGACGGTACTGCTTGAGGAACTCCATACGATGTCTGAGGTTGTCGAATGGGCAAGTTGAATGGCGGACTGGGTCTAAATCCTCTTGGAGGATATGGGGGTGGAACTTCACATAACGCAAGACCCAATGATAATAATATGCTGATAAAAACCTGTAAAATGGAAGCAATGATTACGAAAATATATTGCACATGATACATTTGAAAGAAAGGCTTATTAAAACAGATTTAATTTCATATTTTATTTGAAGACATCAATTTTCTTGTAACATGTGTTTTTACTTTCAAAATTATAGCATTTTAGGAACAAATTTAATAATTTTTTTTTGAGAGTATCGGCTTTTCTACAAAAAAAGCAGTAAATAAATACATATACCAAATATTACTTAAACTATAGCAATTTAATTAATACGTCTTCAATTTAGAAAGAGGACAATCTTGTTTCCAAAAACATTACACAATTATTTTTACTTTTGCACAAATCTGACGTTTGACTACACTGAAAAACTGAGTTTTATTCACAAATCCTTTTCAATATTTCTTGGCACATCACTAAAGAAATTGAAGGGTATCCACTAGTTCGTTGAAAGTAAAATCCACTCTTACCTTCATCGTAGAGGCATTAAAACTACTAAGGTATGAGTAAACCAAATTGGAATTTATATAATCTTTTAAATATAATTTGTATTCAAGGGAAGACTAGACTTTACGTGCCGCGGTGTCATTCTGCATTGTGTATATATTGGTACAATCATTGGGCCTATTCTCTGACCCAGAAACCATATAGTTACATTAATTCGTTTGTTAACATTTTTAAAGAGAATAATAACAGACAGACTTGGTAAGAAACAAAGCTTTAATAACCTAAAGTTAAAATGTATCTATAAGTTCATAATCCATCCATTTATTTTTTGTAGAAACAAGTAGGTACAAAATGAATCTATAGCCCTACTTGGAAAGGGAGAAAAATGGAGGCTGAATTTTGAATTTCTAGTTCTGTAAAGCGATAAAGACGCCAATAATATCATATCATAATTAATCAGTAGTACGATAAAAGAAAAAATGTAGAGTGTTGGAAAACAATTTAGGATACTCCATTTTGGAAAAAAGTAAGAGGGAGAGAGGAGAAGATACCAATAAACGAAAAAGAGAAAATTTTGATCAAATTCGAGAGGTAAACTAAGGGAATAGTTTTCGTATCTGCAGTAATAATGAACGGTTATCAGAAATACGTAGCAAAATATAAAGCATTGCTAGAATTTGTTCGAAGTAAACCACGCACAGAGGTGTGGCAAACTGTAATTATGCGATTAAGTCGGAAAATGTGTGGAGTCCTTTAAGTAAATATCGAACAATTATCATTTATCACAAGCAGTTTAATAATAAATCATGAGGTAATATTCGACAACTATTTATAGCATGGTTGCTAAACAATATGCAGATTTCTTTTGTTGGAAAAACCTTTCAGTCAATAAAATTTCTATAATTACTTATGGTGTGGGACGAAATTTATATTCATTTATCTCATTGACAATATCTGTAAGAACTAATTAGAATTTTAATAAAGAAAATTCCTTCTCGCTTACAGTGATTTAGTGGTCGATGGAAAGGAGGAACATCTGAACTTACCTTTTCAAGGAACTGCAGATAAAATAGGCCGCCTTTTACCGAGGCACAATATGTTATTACCTTCGACGACACCTCAATGAAGATAGAGTCAGCCTTTCCCAAAATATAAGGTGTAACATTAACAAAATAGCGAGGTACAATGAATAGGGACCGGAAAAGTTACACTACTATCATAATATATTAAAAAATATTTTGCCAATGGAGTGGTTAGAAAGTTTTTTTGCTTTTATTTATTGTTGCAATCCCATCTTATTACTGTTACTATAGTTCAATTTTTTTACTAGCTGGAAGACTCCTCAAGAAAAGGAAATAGTGGTGTGCAAGAAACACTCAGACACGGTCCAATTCCAGATACAACTGAATTGCGTATTTCTGGACAGCTGACAGCGTAGTACCTCGTGTTATCCGCCGCGCCGTTGTCACATTGCTCGATATGAATTTTATAGAATTTTTTTATTGCAACGTTAATTATTTCTTAGAATTAAGCATAAAGAAGTAAAAAAAAGTGATAAATATTGTATTTTATGGTATTCTCTGCACACAGTTATGTCAATATTCCTTAATTAATCGAACTTTTGTATATCAAGTTGGAGATTTTGATAAATTTGTTTATTTTAATATATTCTATCGTCTGTTAAAATTAAGGCAGACAAATTGTATAATTGGACAGTCCCACCATCTCACTTTTTACTTTGAACTTTTTTAACAAAAATTATGTTGGTAACTTATGAACACAAAGCTTTATTAGTTGTTATTATATTTTTGACAATGTATGAAAATTAAATAGTTTTCTTACATATTTCGTGTAGTTAAAAATTACACGGGAAATCGTATTAATTATTGGTTAATCCTAACTTCAAGAACGTTGTAACAAAATAGTGCTGGTTTACAATATAACAAATATCCTGTACAACTTCTTTCAAAGTTATCTATTCACGACATTTGAAAATGTACACTACAAATTTTAATACGATACTTCTATTACTTTTGTATAAAAACAAGGAAAAACAAAGAATAAACGCATAGTTTATAGGATTTTATTTTTATTTGTTGATAACTCCCAGGACTAAATATATTGAGATGAATCAAAAGTTTAAGTTTCAGTATTAGGATGAAAATAGATTAATGTCAAAGAATGACAATGTAGAGTTAAGTAATAGATTTGAAATTAAGATGACAATTAGATGCAAAATGACAATTTAAAGTAAAATATAAATTTTGATGAAATATCAATCTAAATTAATAATAGTGCTCATAAAATAAGGGTATATAGCAAAATAAAGATTAAGTAGTATTGCAAAGGTTAAATTGGAAAAGTAAAATTAAAAGGTAATCTGATTAAATTAAAAAGGATAAGTTAAGAAAAAATTATATTTAAAAATAAGAGTGCAGTGCAGTGGTAATCAAGGAGACAGAAAAAAAGAACAAATAAATAAATAAGACAGGAGGAGTTATAATTGTCAAAACAGAAAAAGAAGACTGTATAAGAAAAAGTTAAATAAATTAAAGAAGACGAAAGGAAAATATCTAAAATTTTATTGTGCAGGAAACTATAAAGGAAAGAAGATAACAACAGAGAAATTTAAAATTATAGAAAAATTGTGTTTGAAGAAAGAATAAGGGTGTACACGAAGTTTGACAAATAACTAAAGAGTAATTATCAAATAGTCATATTAGTAAAATTATTTGAATTGTCGTAGACAAGAGACAGAGAAAGGAACACATTGACAAAATGGAGAGAGTGAGTGGACGAAAAGAATGAAGAAGACAGGAGAGAAAATAGCAGAAAGAAAATTAGTACTTAAGAAATCGTGGACATTAAAAGAAAGGTCAATAAATATGTATGTATAGGTAATAAGTAAATGTTAGTTTGTAGAGTAGAAATAAGTTATCGGAGGATAAATAGGGATATTTTAAAAAAGATTATAAATTTATTATGTCAATATAAAAATTTAAACACAGATTACAAAAATATATATTTTTTTAACAAAGTTAATTACAAGTAAAACCTATTTTGTGAACCGACTACTGAGATAAGACCTCATGTTCTATTAAATTTGATGTCTATTATTTATATAAAATTGACATAGGTAATCTAATTGTCATTAAAATTATCAAACGTGAAATAGAATCCCATTTTAAATGAAGAATATACTTGATAAAAAAAGAAAAATAAATAATAATTTTTTAGTGATAACAAATAAAAAGCTTGCCTGGTAAGTAATAAAAATATATTTTCTAAAAATAATAGTCAAAATTTATAATATTTCCACTGACGCTCAACACTACATATTACATAGAACTACAGAAACATTAAAAACTAATTATCTTAATTGGAACATCTCAATATATACTGTAATAGAATGAGTTGAGCCAAAGATTTTTAAAATATCAGAGGGAAACGTCAATTTTTTAAGATAAAATAAGTAAATTTGATTTTTTTTAAAGAAAAGAATTATAAGTTGAATAAGTGTGACCAATAGGTACAGTAAATGGTGGAAATTGAGAAAGGAAAGACAAAATAAATAAACTTAGAACATGATCAATTAAAATTTTTGTAAAAAAGGAAATACAAACAAAATTTAAAGAAATATAATACAATATCTAAACTATACTCGAAATTAAAAAAAAATGTGAATGGTAATTAAAATTTGGATTATTAGAATTAGAAAGTGATTTATAAAAATGAGTGGGATATGAAAAGAAAAGAGTGAGATAACTAAGAAGAAAAATAAGGAATAGAAGAAAACATAATCACAAAACCTAAATCAATTGAAGAATAAGGCCAAGAGAAGTTAAAGTAAGTCCAATAACGAGACAAGTCAAATATTATAGAGGAATAACCAGTATCGAGTACGCCCACGCTTAATTAAAGTCATAGACCAGGGAGTAGTAATAAAGAAATATTAGGAAGAAGACAAATAACAAGGAATTTACAGATGACAAGACAAGGACAGAAGTTGTGCTAGACGGTTCAGAAAAGGATTAGAGGAGAGAAAGGACCAACAAGAGAAGAAATTAGACAGTGAACTGTTATTAGATTTAATATTGAAATCCAAATAATTGGATATTGTTATTTAATTAAGTTAGAGTTGGACGTAGCGTATGTAGAATTTAAGAAAATTTTATTGATCGGAAATTGGATAATGCTGGTGAAATAATAAAAAAAAAAATTAAGCGTTAGCCATTCACATTATTTTATTTTATTGGAAATATAGTGAATTCAAGTCATTAAATAAATTAGAAATTTATTTTTGCAAGAAATAGAATACCTAGTCAATTAAAATTCAAATATAATTTTTTTCTTGTGCCATTGCCTTCTCAAAATTTAATATCTAAACTCATTAATCAGTGTAATATTTTAAAATTAGCTTACTGATCTTCTCAGAACCTTACCCTGAGGTGAGACTACTCCTGTTAGATTAAAATGTGATAATATCTTAAATTAATTTGCTTTCAAACAAAAGCTTTCTCTAAACATAGTGACTCTAAATTTGAATTAAAGTACGATTATGTGCTCATGTGAGCTGACGCCCAGACAAGAAAGAAGGAAGTAAAATACAAAGAATAAGAAGTTAAGCAGAATAATTTCTATATCTCAAAGAATTATTACAATACTTATTACATTTAATCTGTTAAACAGTGCCTTTATTTCAATATATTTTTTTAATTAAAAATATGTGGAATATACTTATAGCTTAAACGTTGTGTATGTTGAATTATCTGGTCGAATACAGTTACATGGACGGAATACCTTCGCAGGGCTTTTTTTAAATCGAATATACCCATCGTAATCTAATATCTCCCAAGAGGATGGCATCCGTTTCAATTTATTTTTTATTCGATATGCGCTTCGGTCCAATATTCTGATTTATTTTGTTTTCTTTTGTCCATCACATACAACTTAAAATTGAAAACCTTTTAAAGATGGAAGTATATCTTGTTATCTGTCGTTTTCTCATTGATTTTTAATATTCTTGTAAGTTTATTTCAT